TCTCTCTCTCTCTCTCTCTCTCTCTCTCTCTCTCTCTCTCTCTCTCTCTCTCTTTTCCACACACACACACAAACACACACGTTTTCTTCTCCAATAGAATATAAGTTACTTGAAGGAAGGAACTATGTCTCTTTTGTTCTTGTACCCATAGTGGCAAATATAGTGCTTGGCATATAGTCATCACTCAATAAATACTGATGGATAGATGGATGGTTGGATAGATGGATGGATGGATGGATGGATGAATGGATGGATGGATGGATGGGTGGATGGATGGATGGATGGATGGATGGATGGCTTGCAACCCAGTGCATTACCAAAATAATTTTCTCTCTTTTTCTCTGATACAGTTCGATGTCTGTCCACTGGTTGGGTTGCCCTATAGGAAGCCATGCTTGGATACTTATAGCCATGTTTCAACTAGCCATGGATTTCCCCACCTGTGAATCTCTAGCCCAAGGCCCAGAGTTCAGACTCTTGCCTCGGCCTTTCCACAATCCTCGATTGTGGAGTTTTAAGAATGGACTGGCAACGAAGATCCCCACTCCTTTATGGAACCTTCTTTCATTCCGTCCTGAGCATGCACATGGGCAAATACGAACATATTCCAGAGGGACCCATAGGACCAGGGACCAGGGGGTCATCCCTTTGAAAAGTGGGCCATCGAAACACCCAGAAACTGCCAAATTCAACCCTTCCATTACGTCCTTGGTGGGCAGTGGGAGCATAGAACAGCAGAAACCTTTGAGAAGAGACAAAAGGCATCTACAGGGGGGTAATTTGAATAATTTTGACTTCAGAGCAAATAAACCCACAGTGGAAACTGAATTCATTGCCTGGGGTCCCACAGGGGAAGAAGAGTCTGTAGAATCTAGCACATCTCCTGGGATTTATGGCCCCACCACTGTCTCCATTTTACCAACCAGAAAGACAACTGTGGCCACTACCACCACTACTACCACAAGCTATGTCACTCTACAAACTAAGGGATTCATGGAGTCCCTTAGTCCTGGGATTATTAAGAACAACCCCAACTATCCGGGTAGGATTAGCACAACCGAAGCCTCCACTGTTCCCAACAGCAATGGCAAAGACATCACGCCGCCACGGATTCTGGAGCCCTCAGGTACTCTTTATTTCTTTTGGGGGCTGGGCTTGGGAGTTGATTTGTGGGACAATGCGTTGTTCCTTCTTCAGTGAGGGGTATCTATTTTTTGTACCAACTCATGACCAGTGTGAGTCTGATTAGCATAAGCAGCCAACCTGGTGTGACTCTGGCTCTGCTACAAGCAGAAAAGTGTGTGATTTTGGTGACATATATGCATGCATGTGCATTTGTACATAAGTTGATGTGTGATTTGGCCCAAAGTTAATAACAGATCATGTCTTCCTGGGATGACAGTTGAACAATGGAAGTTTATAAAATGTGCTTTGGTCTACTTTGTGTGTCCACGGGAGCTAGTGAGGGATTGGAGTCTTGGGTTGAGTGCTGGGAGATGGATGGGAAAGGAGGAGAGTGGTAGTCACAAACTCTTGCAACTCGAGTAGTCTGTCTTATAGACAGCCAGAAAAATCCGAATCTAGGCATCTGATGAGAGAATTTTATGGGGCCATTAAGATTTTCTTCAGATTCCCAGAGTCATGCCTCTAATGGATTTGCAATGGATTCAGGGAATGTTCACAATAGCAGGGAAGCTTGAGGATAGGTTAAAAACATCACCAAAAAAAAAAAAACAAACACAAAACTTCATTATAGAGTCTTCTTGCATTCATTGAAAAGGCAAACACAAAGATATTACTCCATAAGGGCTCACAGAAACCCAGATGGGGTGGTTCCCACTTTGAAAAAAGTGGTTCATCTGAACCTCCAACAACTATCCAATTCAAGCCTTCCATTCTGTTGAGAGCAGATTAAGCACTTGAATAACAATGACTGAAGGAGTGGGATCTTTTTTTTCCTCTAGGAATCTTTTAAGAGCACATCAAAAATATTATCAGGAGATGAATAATAGGTAAATGTGCTGAGTAGGAGGAGGATGGACTAGACTTTGGTGGGAGGTGGTTCTTGCAGACATTAACCTCCTATTTGTGCTAGGGTAGTCATGATTCATACTTATGGCTCAGAATTATTAAATGTCCATTTGTGAGGTTTTCTTTCCCTTTTTTCCTCTGCTCCCAGCCCCTTTTCCACACCTTTGCATTTTGTGCTTTTCGCGGGGCTATTTTGGCTTCATTCCTTGCTCCAGAAGAGGCAGAAATCCCCTAAATTCTCCAGGGATAAAAGCCCTTTCCACAGCATCCATAGCTGTTCTGCACAGAGATGGAGCTCGGAAGAAGCTTAGAAATATCCCTGAGCTTCCAATCCCAGTGGGGCACCCTTTGGCTATTTACAATTCACATCCAATTTTGTTTGCCTTTGTTAACCAGCATCAATCACATACAGTATAACAGCTTGGGAGTCCCTGGATGGGCACAGCCCAACTACATTCTATGTAAACAACAACTTTTTGCCAATCCCATAAAATGTAAGAATTACAGAGCCCTGCCTTAAAATGGAAGCCTGCAGATCTGATCCTTTCTTCAAAATGCTCAGTTTTATATGGCTGGGGGTGTCTAGGCCCTGAGATCCATATCCTTCATGAGGCACCAGTAGGACACCAAGTGATTCTATTTCTCTTGGCCTGTTTTCTCATCTTGGCTACCATAACCCCTTGCCTTAGCTCCAGATCCCTGCACATTGTTCTCAAATTTCAGCACCTGCCCTTCTTTCTGATACTTTAGATCAGTAGAGAATGGATGGTTTTGATCTCCAAATCACCAACCCCAATCCTCCTTCCCCCCATGTGATTACTAGTTTCCTTCCAATGGGAAAGACCAGGGCATCTCAGCAGAAAGTTGTCACCTACCTGACAACATGGTCATAGATGTAGCAGAGATCATCTAGTCTAATGGTCACTGCTTCCATTTTACAGATGAATAACCTGAGGCTTAAGACAGTTAATTGGCTTACCCAAATTCATGCATATAGTAAGTGGCAAAAAAGTGTACTTGAAACTCCATCTAGTGACTCCAAAGTTGGGGTTGTGTTAATCAGTAAACCTTTTTAAAGCACCTACTATGTCTTAAGCACTGTGCTCAGTATTAGAGCCAGAGACAAGAGAGAGAAATCCAGGAGAGAAAGCATTTTCCAATAGAGATCTTGGAGGGACCTCCACAGGTTTGTTTTCTCACACATTGCAAACTCTCAGCAAGGCAGCCTATTTGAGATTGAAGAATCTGGATACATACAAAGCCAGCAATCCATCATCTGTGTCAGACCTCCTGGAGGAGCATTCAAAACATCTTCCCCCCTCCTCCAATAAACTCACAAGCCATCATCAAAATAGAATTTAATATACAGTATTCATTTAATGTCATCTCTTCCATATATGTCACTGACTATAGGGCCACGGATGAGAAAACAATTTCCCACTTATTCCAAATTAGATTTGTTATTACTAAAGTTAAACTGCTAGGGCAGTATTAGAGGGCTTAGCAAATTAATTCACAGAACATTGGATGGTACTAATCCGACACGACAGATGCTTATCTTGGAAAAAAAGATTTATGGTTCTTCATAAAATAATCTGGTCTCAGATTAATTTGTTTAGTGAGATGAATTCAAAAAGGGGAAAATGTATATGTTTGCTGCCAAGGGAAAGAAATTTTAACAGGCCAAAGAGACGGCATCCTGGGGATCAGGTAAAAAGAGACTGACAGGGAGCCTCGTTAAAGGGGGTGGTGGAGTGGGGGGATCAATCATTTCAGGGTAAGAAATCTCAGAAATTGACAACACAATTTGCTGAGACAGGAACCGACCAAAGCACCCCTAACTCTTACCAAGAATCCTTGCCATACCCCAGCTTCTGGGTATTGCTTATAGAAATTGGAACCTGAGCTCTGTCACTGCAGCAACAAAGGCATTTTAAGTCAGACACTAGGAAGCCTTGACTGAGTGATTTAATCAGTTTATTCAATTAGTCAATCACCAAGCATTTTATTAATTGCCTAGTATGTGTCAGGCATATATTATTAGGCACTGGAAATACAAAGAACAGAAAAATAAAAGTCTGTGCCCTCAGAGAGCTTATGTTCTGAAAGAGAAGAAGAGAGAGACAGAGAGAGAATGAGAATAATGAAGTCTTTTTGGGGGTGGGATAGGGGAGGAGAATCAGGAAAGTTGTTTTTTTTTTGTAAATAGTATTTTGTTTTTTCCCGATTACATGTAAAGATAGCTTTCATTATTCATTTTATAAGATTCTGAGTTCCAAATTTTTTCTCCCTCCCAACCCGCCTCCCAAAGACAGACAGCAATCTGATATAAGTTATACATGTGCAATCTTGTAAACATATTTCTACATTGTCATGTTGTGAGAGAAGAGAAATAACAAAAGGGAAAAGCCACAGAAAACAGCCCAAAATGTGAAAATAATATGCTTTGATCTGTGTTCAGACTCCATAGTTCTTTCTCTGGATGTGGATAGTATTTTCCATCATGAGTCTTTTGGAATTGTTTGGATCATTGTGTTGCAGAGAAGAACTAAGTCAATCGTAGTGATCATCACATAATGTGACTGTTACTGTGTACAATGTTCTCCTGGTTCTGCTCACTTCACTCAGCATCGGTACATATGAGTCTTTACAGGTTTTTCTGAAATCTGCCTGGTCATTATTTCTTATAGTACAAAGGTATCCCATTACATTCACATACCACAACTTGTTCAGTCATTCTCCAATTGATTGGCATCTCCTCAATTTTCCAATTCTTTGCTACTACAAAAAGAGCTGCTATATTTTTATACATATGGGTCCTTTTCCCTTTTTTTTAAAATGTCTTTGGTATATAGACCTAGTACTGGTATTGCTGGATCAAAGGGTATACAATAGTTTTACAGACCTTTGGGCATAGTTCCAAATTGCTCTCCAGAATGGTTGGATCAGTTCACCGCTCCACGAGCAA